TCGGAGAACATCTACTAAAAAGTAGGTCACTTTAACCTATTTTTTGAATTGTATGGCTAATCTTTATCAAAACAATTAAAGTCATTACTTCGAAAACTGAGAGGTTTAGAATCATTAAATCTTGTAAGATGATGTATCTTGGGGCCATAAAACATATTTATTAAAAAGTAGGTCACAGTGACCTACTTTTTGAACTTTGCAGGCATTGGATTTCAAAGCATATTTTGGCCATTGGATTTCAAAGCATATTTTGGACATTTTAAGGCCTATGATCATATAATTTTGTAAGTTGATGCATCTTGGGTCTTCGAAAAGACAACTGAAAAGTAGGTCACCCTGACTTACTTTTCAATTTGTATGACTATAATTAAATATTTCAGGTACTAATTGGCTTAGAATCCTTAAACTTTGTCAGTTGATGCATCTTGGATCTTCGGAGTGGGTCGACTGAAAAGTAGGTCACTGACCTACTTTTGAAAATTTATGATTTTAGTTAAATATTTTGAGTACTAATTGGCTTAGAATCATCAAACTTTGTCAGTCGATGCATCTTGGATCTTGGAGTACAACTGAAAAGTAGGTCACCGTGACCTACTTTTGAAAATTTATGGCTTTAATTAAATATTTCATGTACTAATTAGCTTAGAATCATCAAACTTTGTAAGTTGATGCATCTTGGGTCTTTGAAAAATGTCCACTGAAAAGTAGGTCAAGGTGACCTACTTTTCAATTTATATGACTATAATTAAATATTTCAGGTACTAATTGGCTTAGAATCATTAAACTTTGTCAGTTGATGCATCTTAGGTCTTCGGAGGAGGTCAACTGAAAAGTAGGTCACCGTTACCTACTTTTTCAATTTATATGACTATAATTAAATTTTTCAGGTACTAATTGGCTTAGAATCATCAAACTTTGTCAGTTGATGTATCTTGGGTCCTCCGAGTAAGTCAACTGAAAAGTAGGTCACATTGAACTACTTTTCAATTTATGACTATAATTAAATTCTTCAGGTACTAATTGGCTTAGAATCATCAAACTTTGTCAGTTGATGCATTTTGGGTCTTCGGAGTAGGTCCACTGAAAAGTAGGTCACCATGACCTACTTTTGAAAATGTATGGCTTTAATTAAATATTTCAGGTACTAATTGGCTTAGAATTATCGAACTTTGTTAGTTGATGAATCTTGGGTCCGCAGAGTTAGTCGACTGAAAAGGAGGTCACTGTGACCTATTTTTGAAATTTTACGGCTTTATTTAAATATATTAGGTACTTACTGGCTTAGAATCATCAAACTTCGTCAGTTGATGCATCTTGGGTCCTCAGAGTATGTCATCTGAAAAGTAGGTCACTGTGATCTACTTTTGAAATTTTATGGATATAATTTTAAAAATATTTAGGTAGTAATTAGCTTAGAATCATCAAACTTAGTTGATGCATCTTGGGTCCTCAGAGAATGACAAGTGGTAAGTAGGTCACCATGACCTACTCTCTTAGAATCACCTTGGGTTCTCAGAGTGTTTCATCTAAAATATAGGTCATGATGACCTACCTTTGGAATTTCAAGGCTTTATCTAAATATACAGGGTACTTAGAGGCTTCACATAGAAGTGATAGGTTGTACAGTTAATCAGAAGGATTCAAGGCCCTTGGGCCTCTTGTATATTTAAACCTCCTAGCCAAAGTGCTCAGGTGAGTGATGTGGCCCTTGTTGAATTTTATGGCTAATCTTTTTCAAAATATTTAAGGTCATTGTTTCAGATACTGAGAGGTTAAGAATGATCAATCCTTGTAAAAGTAGATGCATCTTGGGACCTTAAAACTTGTTTATCAGAAAGTAGGTCACAGTGACATATTTTTTAAATTTTGCAGGTATATGTTTTCAGATAGTTTTAGAGGCTTATTTTGGATACTTTAAGGCCTTTGATCATCAAACTTTGTCAGTTGATGCATCTTGGGTCCTCAAAAAATGTCATCTAAAAAGTAGATCACTTTGACTTACTTTTGAAATTTTATGGCTATATTTCGGAAACTAATTGGCTTAGAATCATCAAACTTTGTTGGTTGATGCATCTTGAGGCCTTGGAGTATGTCACACTGAAAAGTAGGTCACTGTGACCTACTTTTGAAATTTTATGGCTATATTTAAATACTTCAAACACTAATTGGGTTAGAATCATCAAACTTTGTCACTTCATGCTTCTTGGGTTCTCAGAGTACATCAACTAAAAGGTAGGTCATGGTGACCTACATTTTGAAATTTTATGGCTATATTTAATTATTTCTGGTAATAATAGGCTTAGAATCATCAAACTTTGTCACTTGATGCATCTTGGGTCCTCGGAGTGCAGTATGTCAACTGAAAAGTAGGTCACTATGACCTACTTGTGAGCTATATTTAATGTTTCATATTTGGATATTTTATTAGAAAAAGACGTAAATGGTAATCTAACAACAAAACTTTATGATAAACGTGATGACTTTAACTTTTCAATTGTCAACTTCCCTTACTTATGCAGCAATATATCCTTATCACCTGCATACGGGTTTATATCTCTCAGTTGATTCGATACGCTAGAGCAAGCGCTATGTATGAACAATTTCTAAAACGAGGTAAACTATTGACAGACAAGTTGATGAAACAAGAATATCTGCAGTCTCATTTAAAGTCATCATTTCGTAAGTTCCATGGTCAATACAATGACCTTGTCAGCAAATACAATCTTTCACTAAATCAAATGCTGACTGACTTTTTCAAACTAATTGTTATGCCATTATTTATACACTGAATTGTTGACGGATTTTTCCATTATTTCTTGGTCATGACAAAGAGCACACGGCAGGTGTGACAAGTTGGCAGGGGATGCTCACTCCTCCATGGCACCTGATCTCATCTCTGATGTCTTAGAGGTCTGTGTTTGCTCTGCTCCTATTTTGTAATGTTTAATGGACTTTTGAGCTCGAATACTGTTCGTTATCTACACATATTTCATTTAAGTATTTTCATGTACTAATTGCCTTAGAATTATCAAACTTTGTCACTTGATGCATCTTTGGTCCACAAAGTATGTCAACTGAAAAGTAGGTCACCGTGACCTATTTTTGAAATTTTATGGCTACTGTATACACTCGCCTATAAGTTAGTCCGCCTATAAGTTGGTTGTATTTTTTAAGCTTAAATTAGATGGATTGACCCACTAAAATACCAATCTTTTTATAACTTGCGTATAAGTTGGATAAAAATTTTTAACTCCCCAAAAATCGACTTAAAGGTGAGTATATATGGTAGAATCATCAAACTTTGTGGGTTGATACATCTTGTGTCCTTGGAGTATGTCAACTGAAAAGTAGGTCAGTGACCTACTTTTGGAATTTTATATTTTAATATTTCAAATACTAATTGACTTAGAATCGTCAAACTTTGTCAGTTAATGTATTTTGAGTAGTAAGAATGTATAAACTATGAATATTTTCAAATAATGAGACTGAAAATCATCAAACTTTGTCAGTAGAAGCATTTTAGGGTCTTGGAGTATGTTTACCAAAAAGTAAGTCACTGTGACGTACTTTTGGAATCTCATGGCTATATTTGAATATTTTAAAGATAATAAGGTGCTTCGAATCATCAAACTTTTTCAGTTAATTCATTTTGGCTTCTCAGAGTTTTTTAACCAAAATGTAGGTCATGATGACCTACTTTTGGAATTTCATGGCTTTATTTAAATATACAGGATACTTAGTAGGGATGCGCGATTTTATCGGTATACTGGTATATCGCGATTTTTTATTGCGTGATGCGTATCGTGATATGGAGTCTAAAATACAGGTATTTGGTACATAACTATAAATTCCGGAAATTATTTATTTATTTGTTCAAACTATTGAATGACAATTACAGGAAGTGTAAAAAATGTTGAAAACAGTTAAACAACAGCATCCAAACATGCGTTATATTAAATAAATAAAAATTTAAAAAGTAAAGTTGTGTTCTTATAGGGTATTTTTAAGAAATATTTTGGAAATTAATTTGAAATTGTAGTAAAAATTGTGTGTAAAAATATCACGATTTATTGTGATATTCTTGGGAAAAATCGTGATATATCACGATACAAAATTTTTGCCGATACCCATCCCTAATACTTAGAGGCTTCAAATAGAAGTGATAGGTTGTATAATTTATCAGAAGAGCGAATCAAGGCCCTTGGGCAGCTTGTTAATTCTGTAGGTAAACAAATTCTGTCAGGTCATGCATAGTGCTATCGTTGAATCTAGTCAGTGTATCTTAAATTCAGTTAATCAGTAATTAAATGGTGAAGTCTCTCTTTGAGGGATGTATCATGTGCCTGTATAATTCACATATACTGAAATTATGTTGTTTAAATGATGGGGATTTCTTGTATTTTGTAGATGGGCAAGAGAAAGGGCATCTCTGCTAGCGTAAAGCGCCAAAGAGACAAGATTCGAAAGAGGGAGAAGAGGCAGCAGCAGCTCCTTCCCTCCACAGATGTTCCACAAGATGGTTTACTGCTGGAGTCTGCTGTCCCCTGCGGGGCAGTAGATGGAGCTATTTTGGCTCCCCCTGGTAATTTTCCAGGGCAAGGTTCTATAGGGTTGCCGCCTAGTGAGGAAAAACTCTTGGCCAGGATGCAGGCCTCTCCTTGTGAGAAAATGCATTCAAATGCCCTGAGTATTGCATCCTCTCAGGGAAGTCGTCTGTGTGCCCGAAACGGAGGCATGGCACCGTCCCCTGACTCCCCACCGTGGGTTTGTACCTCACCGAGGGTACCTGAGCCAGACACCGTGCACGTGTCTGGCTCAGCAGGTCAGGCGCAGCTGGATATGTCATCCTCTCAGGGGGATGAGTCCAGCAGGATATTAAAAGATGCAATGGATTTTGAAACTGATATTGAAAAGGATATTGAAACGGATATTGAAATGAATATTGAAATGGATACTGAAAGAAATATTGTTATAAATTTCAAAGAACAAAATGAGTGCATAAATGATGACTATATTGGAAATGATTCAAAATACAGATTTGACAGACAATACACTGGCAGATTGATTGATGCTGAAGTTTCAAGTACAAGCGAAAGCAGACTACCAGCAAATATTAAGGGATCTATTCAAGGTTCTTTTCATCAGGGTAACTTAATGTTTGGTGAGAATGCAGGTACACAGTGTGTAGCAAACTCCTTAGTAGCCTTAGCATACCATAAGTTGAAGAATTCTAAACACTGGGAAACAACAGATATGGACAAGGTGTTGGTAATGGGGGATGAGCTGTACACCTATTTGCAGCGTAGTTCTTCTGTAAATAGCAGATACCTTTTGGTTAATGAGTTACCACAGTTTTTTGAATGCTTTAATACAATATATGAGTTTAAAGCAGATGAATCATTATGTAGCTTGATCAATTTATCAGATACTGAACCAAATTATGATGACTTTCATGCATGTTTCCTTTTAGATGCTTTGCATATTGCCCTTTCTGAAACTGATGGATGTTTTGTGTGTTTTTGGGGAAATACTTTTTTGATAGGGAAAACAAATGATCAATTTTTCACATTTGATTCTCACTCAAGGTCTGCTCAAGGATAAATGAGTTTGAATGGATACAGTACAAGGATACTTTATAAATCAATTGAAGATGTTTATAACCATGTTCTTTTATTAGCACTGTCAATGGGATATTCCGAAATGATTGACTGTGAAATAACAGGTGTGAATTGTTCTATTAGCAAAATTGAGGCATATGAGGCACAAAATGATATGCATTCTAGTACAAAACTTCAGTTAGTCCCTGATTGTGGTGATGTTGATTTTGAAGTTGTTTCAACAGAAAGTCACAAAATTAGTTTTAGGCCACTTTCTGGCAATAGGAAGATTGAGCTTTGTCAAACTTTAGGAATATCTTTTTCAAGTTATGAAAAAGTGAGTGAACCAACCCTCTTTACCCAGGAAGCGGAAGCACCTGATGATTGTGTCAGAATTCAGGGGGATGGAAACTGTTTTTTTCGAGCAATTTCATTTTGTTTGACTGGAGTAGAGGACCATCATTATGATTTACGTTCGGCAATATGTGAACATCTTCTTAACAACTCAAGTTTGTTTAAAACCTTCTTAAGATGTGGTGAAAATTCTGTTGAAAATCATATTGCGATGAGAAATATGACTCACGAGGGTGTATGGGCAACAGAAATAGAAATTCTTGCTCTCTCTCATCTTTTAAACACTGATGTGCACACATATACACAGAATCATTGGGTTACATATTCTGCATGTTTGGTAGATCCCACAACAAATTTGCAATGCTCAGAAGCAATATACCTTTTTCATGAGAATGAGAATCATTACAATGTTGTGTTATCAGTTTTTGGAAAACAAACAGCTTGTTGCAAAAAGACAGAATCAATTATAATAGGCAAGAAAGAATTCAAGAAAAGAATTGGAAATCGGAATCGTATGAGAGAAATGCGTAATGTCATGTCATCACAAAATATTGAGAATGAAAGTAGTAAGAGAAATGTGAAAAGGACTAAAATTATGATTCAACAGAGTAGAATGAAAGTTAAAGGTTTTTGTGGCATTGAAAAGAAATTGAGAGCAGCGAAACTAAAGTACTGGACAGATCGAGCATTTAGATTAAAAGCAATATCACAGAGCAAAGAAAGATACAGAAGTAATGAAACATACAATGCAAAATCAAAAAAAAGAAGTGTGGAAAAGTATGCATTAGATCCAAGACACAAGTTGAGTCTCAAGGAAGCCAGCATAAGGAAATATGCAACAAATGAAGCCCATAAAGAACATGTAATAAGAAGAAATATTGAGAAATACAAATCAAATATTTTACACAGAGAAGCTCTGAAACGAAAAAGTGCGGAAAAGTACAAGAAAGATGAAGTACACAGGGCAGATGTTAAAAAAAGAAGTACAGAAAAGTACAAGAAAGATGAAGAACATAGAGCAGATGTTATAAAAAGAAGTACAGAAAAGTACAAGGAAGATGAAGTACACAGAGCAGATGTTAAAAAAAGAAGTACAGAAAAGTACAAGGAAGATGAAGTACACAGAGCAGATGTTAAAAAAAGAAGTACAGAAAAGTACAAGAAAGATGAAGAACATAGAGCAGATGTTATAAAAAGAAGTACAGAAAAGTACAAGGAAGATGAAGTACACAGAGCAGATGTTAAAAAAAGAAGTACAGAAAAGTACAAGGAAGATGAAGTACACAGAGCAGATGTTAAAAAAAGAAGTACAGAAAAGTACAAGGAAGATGAAGTACACAGAGCAGATGTTATAAAAAGAAGTACAGAAAAGTATTGGAAAAATGAAGAACATAGAGGAGATGTTAAAAGAAGAAGTACAGAAAAGTACAAGGAAGATGAAGTACACAGAGCAGATGTTAAGAAGAGAAGTACTGAAAAGTACAAAAAAGATGAAAAACATAGGAATATGCTGAAGGCAGCTAATAAGGTAAAGTACCACTTTAATGCTGATGCAAAGAAATGCAAGAAGGAGAATGTGCTAAAACAGAGACAAGCAAGGAAAGTGAAGCTAGAAGATGAAGATGAAGTTGTCAAAATATTTAAGGAAAGTATAAGGAATGGTCCAGAATACACTTCTTGTTGTTGTCATCGTTTATTGTTCGAAAATCAAGTTCAAAGATGTGCATTTGAAATGTATGAGAAAAGACAGAAAGCAATGGAAATAGCAAAGATATGCATAAATAACAGATATGTTCATGAGTGCACAATGTCTTGTTCAATTAACTGCAAAAAATCATCATTATGGATCTGTTTTACATGCCATAGGAAAATACTGAGTGGTAAAATTCCTGGAGAAGCAGCTGCAAATAAAATGGCACTTGAAGAAATTCCACATCAACTAAGTAATTTAAACAGTTTAGAGCAACATCTCATTGCTTTACATATCCCCTTTATGAAAGTGATGTCTCTCCCACAAGGTGGTTTGTGAATCCAGAACATATACATACAGCCCTGGACTACTTAAAGAAGAACAACAGATGGTATCGAGATGTTGTGATCAATTCCACATGGAAACAAAACTGTGAGGAAGGTGATTTGATTTTGAATGATTCTAATAAATGTGAAGAGGAGAAATTAACCTCAGAGCAGATGACAGAAAATCAAGAGGTGGTTTCAGACACATGTTTACAACCTGTGGATATTGCACAAGAAGTTCTTGACCATTACTTTGATGATGTTTACAACATAGCTCCCGGGGAAGAACAAAATCCTGTGCGTATGTTGCAAGAAGAAGGGAATGAAGCGAAGACATTTCCACATTTATTTCCCAGCGGAAAATTTTCTTGGAATGAAAATCGAGATGAAAAGATAACCCTTGCCAGATATTTTAACAACAGACTTATGAACACTGATAATAGATTTGCAAAAGACACAAATTACATCTTTTTCTCACAGTACCTGTCTGAATTAAATCAAGTGATTGAGAAAACACAAATAATCCGCAAGTCTGTATCAAAACTTGATGGTGGAAAATCTGTAACATCAGATATGTTGCAAGACCCAGAAGAACTTTCTAATCTGCTCAAGAACAATGATGCTCTAAGGTTTATGCAGCCAATTCGAGGAACGCCTTCATACTGGTCAGCAATACAGAAAGACTTATTTGCTATGCTTCGACAACTTGGTATTCCTACATGGTTCTGCTCTTTTTCTGCAGCTGAATTTAGGTGGAATGAGATTGTGGGATCAATATTACATCATGAAAATGATACAACAGACCCTTCGAATTTAGACTGGGCAGAAAAGAGTGAAATTTTAAGAAAAAATCCTGTAACCGTAGCCAGAATGTTTGAAAATAGATTCCATATTTTCCAGAGAGATGTAATATTGTCACCATCAAACCCAATAGGAAATGTCATTGATTATTTCATAAGAGTTGAATTTCAGCAAAGAGGTTCTCCACATATGCATTGCTTGTACTGGGTTGAAAATGCACCGAAATTCAACATAGATAGCGATGAGACGGTGTGTGATTTTATTGATAGGTACGTCACATGTGCTTTGCCTTCTGATGATGACAACCCAGAACTTAGACAAGTTGTTTTAGCTGTACAACAACATAGCAAGAGTCACTCAAAATCATGCAGAAAAAAAGGAACAGAGTGCAGATTCAATTTTCCAAGACCTCCATCAGAGAAAACCTTTATAACAAAGCAAAGTGAGGAGGATCTTGACATTTCTGATGATGATAAAGGAGTATTGAACAAATCTCAGGCAAAGGATATTTTGTTGAGTGTTTGGGATGAAATATTGGATGATGTGAATGCACTCAAGACAACTGAAGAAATATTCAGCAGCATCCACCTTACACAAGATGTATATGAGATGGCACACAAGATGTTGTCGACAAAAACAAGTACTGTATTAAGACGAAATCCTAATGAAATGTGGACAAATCAGTACAATCCATGCCTTCTCAGATGTTGGGATGCAAACATGGACATACAATATGTTCTAGACCCCTTTAGCTGCATCATGTACATTATATCATATATATCGAAGTCAGAAAGAGAAATGGGAATGCTATTAAAGCAAACGCAAGTAGAGGCAATGGAAGGTAACTTAAGTGCTCGTCAAACAATGAGAACAATAGGATCTGCATATCTTAATCAGAGGGAGGTCAGTGCCCAAGAAGCAGTTTACAGAGTCTGTAATCTGAGAATGAAGGAGAGTTCAAGGAAAGTGGTTTTTGTTCCTGTTGGTGAAAATCCCACTCGCTTAAGTAAACCTCTTGCCCAAATGCAAAAAAAAAGAGAGAAGAGAATGCAATGATGATGACTTGGAAGGTGATGATGATGATGACATATGGATGACAAATATTGTAGAAAGGTATGAAAATCGTCCTGACCTACATTCGTTTGATAAGATGTGTCTTGCAGAATTTTGTTCCTCTTACAGAGTGCTCGCTAAATCTCAGATTCCTAAAGGGGAAAATGGAAGTGTTTATGAATTGAAGAATGGAAAAGGGTACATACAGAAAAGAACAAGAGGAAAACCAGCTGTTATTAGATATCCCAGATTCAATCCAGAAAATACACCAGAAAAGTATTATCAATTAATATTGCAGCTTTTTCTTCCATATGTCAGACAAGATCAACTGAAACCACCTGGATTTGAACTTTACCAGACATTTTTTGAAACTGGATTTGTGAGACTGAAATCTGAGATTCAGTTACAACCAGTAAAAACTTTGGTGGAAGATAATCAGTGCAAATTCTCAAAAAATGAAGATGCTATTGATAATGCTCAAGAGGTTTTTGAACTTTATGGTGAACCTGAGGATGCTTGGGCAAAACTTCGTCCAGAAACAGAAATGAACAGAAAGGAGTGTTTAGATGAAAAAAAGGCGACTGAGAAATTAGAAGATAAAAAACCAGAAGTTACTCATGAAATTGAAAACAGTTCTTCAGACTTGTTATATCACATCACAGAGAATTGTAATTCAAGGCAAGAAATGCTTCCTTTATTGAGAAGGTTAAATGAAAAACAAAAGGAGGTTTTTTACATAGTTCGTGACTGGTGTTTGAAGAAAGTTACTGGAGAGAAAACAGAACCATTGCATATCTTTGTGACAGGGGGTGCAGGAACAGGAAAAAGCCATTTGATCAAGGTTATACATTATGAAGCTTCTCGTCTTTTTGAAAAATTACTTTCATCTCCAAATGATATATCTGTGCTTCTCGCGTCTTTTACTGGCACAGCTGCATTTAATATACGGGGCAATACACTTCACCATGTTTTTTCTTTGCCAATAGCTCTACGCATTCCATATGAACCTCTGAATGAGCAAAACTTGAGTGCAATAAGATCTAAGTTAGAAAACTTGCAGATCTTGATCATTGATGAAATATCTATGGTTCACAAGAGGCTTTTGTATTATATTCATGAGCGTCTTGTTCAAATTAAGAAGTGCAAAGAACCATTTGGTGGTGTATCTATCTTAGCAGTTGGAGATTTCTACCAACTTCCTCCTGTAAAACAACGAAAAGCAGAGAGATTATATAATGAAAATGAAGAATATCCAGTAGACTATTGGTTAGACTTTTTCAAAATGATAGAGTTGGACGAAATAATGAGACAACGTGAAGATGCAAACTTTGCTTCAATTTTGAATTCATTACGAATTCGGACAATAGATGAACCACTGTCAGAAAAGGCTAAAGTGATGCTTTCAGAATGTATAAAAGATGGGCCAGAGGATGTTCTGCATGTATATCCCACAAACGAAGAAGCAAATGAACATAACCTTAAGATTTTGAAGGAAAAGTGTGGAGATTTAATTGAAGTAAATGCTGAAGATTATCAAAAAGATAGAACGATAGGTAAGCTCACTTTACGTAATAAACCTTTCATTAGGACAAGAACAGATGGCTTATCCTCTTCTCTGCTCATTTCTGTGAATGCTAAGGTGATGCTTACAAGAAACATAAATGTGGATGATGGACTTGTTAATGGTGCGATTGGATACATTTCTACTGTTGAGTTTGGAAAAGGTCAGCAGAGAAATAGAGTGGAAGGAATGGGAGTGATATTTGATAGTAAAGATACCGGAAGGCAGCAAGGAAAGTTGACCCCTCAAGGACATCTAGTCCTTATTCAAAGAGTACAAGAAGACATCAAAGAAAAAAATACGAAAAATGTGTGGCTAATTGTATTCGGCGCGTCGGCGCGCTCGCGCAACAGATTTTGTTTATAAAATAAATTATCGCTTATACAATATTGTTAGCATCGGGCTCGATATCATAAATAATCAAAGTACTTAGAAGTACAGAGAGCCGGGCTCATTTACAGAGAAGTGAACAAGTCCGTTTTACATGAAACATACATTGTAATTACAGATGAATAACAACAAGACACTGGAAGAATATGTAACACAAAAATATATTTATGGCATATAGTATAAATAAAAAATGTTTAAAAAATAAAATAAAATAAAATGCAGTTTGAATTTACATTGATGCAGCAAGGTCAAATATACACAGACGGGTCCTCAGGAGTTTTGCATAAAGGTGTGCATCGGGTCACATGCTCCCCGCATTAGCCTGGTAACACAACCTTTATCTATAGAATATGAAGCTGGCAGACTTGATGAAATTACCTATCGCATCTTTTAAACAAATAATTTATTGAAGAAAAGGGGAGAAAGTATATTATCAATTTTTTTTTATTTTTTTTTTTTTTTTTTAATTTTTTTTTTAAGAGAATTTCTTAGTTAAATTAAATTTGTTTAATTAAGTGTTTGTATTGCTTCAAAGGTGGTTGAGCATACGTACTATATTCTTACTCATATTTAATTTTGCGGTGAGGAAGCGGTATTTCCGGTTGAACACCGTAACATAAACCGGCTATTGCTCTACGAGCAATGCGCTCGGCTAAAAAGAAAGTTTTATAGATGGAATTTTGTTTTTGAAGCTTCAACATCACTTGTTTGCACAGGGTCCGTTCGCCTTATTTATATTGCAGAAATTGAATAATTAACCAATGGATTTTTTAAATAAATTATATGTACATTGGTACATAAATTGCACACGGGAGACAACAGACGAATGCATGTGGTCAACTATACCGGTAATTTATACCTGTACTAATCAAAGACCCAGCAGACCAACAGAAATTAACATCTCAGTCCTTTAATTGAACATAACGCAGATTGTATGATCCCCTAAATTACAGTGACATTATTAAGTATAATTAAGTATAATTAAATCAATTAAGCATGTAAAGAGCATAAATATCAAATTTGAATTACTTCATTAAGATTACGGTTAATAAAAAATAAATACTGTAGCAACATTTGAAAAAAACACCAAGTAAAATATTTAATAAAATTAATAATAAATGTTGATATTTACTATATACTGTATATATAATAGGGCGAACGAGATATAGGGCGAACAAGAATAATGGCGAACGGACCCTGCGCGAACG